GACAGCTGCTCACAAAAAGGTGTCGAACAGGGAGACACGCAGAGCTTTTTGTAAAACAGTCCATTAAATTCGACTGTGGCTTTTTACTGCGACTCCAAACCACATCTTTAAGGCATTAAACGCAACACGAAACGTGCCTTTTACGAGCCACGAACACCAACAACATCTTTGGAACATTTAGCGGAGTGCAAACAGCATTTCGTACATCAGTGCCTGTTTACGGGAGGAAATGAGAAGAAAGCCCACAAGCTTTCATTAAAAGTTCCTTTAAAGACTTTGTGATTGATCTTTTTATTCCTTTTCTTTATTGTCAAAGTTATTTCTTATCACACATGACGAGCTTATTCAGATTTTCCAAGTACATATGCAACCGTTTTCGTGAACAAATGAGTCAATTTTCTTGAGTTCTGTTAAAAGATAATAAAAATTCGAGAAGAAACAAACAAAAAAACAGGCGTGTGGGGTTTGGGAGGAGGCGGCTCTGACCTGGGATGTGCTCCTCGCCGTAGGTGACGTTTACGTTGTAGAGGCCGGGCGTGTAGGGGACGTACTCCACGCTGCAGCTGCCATCTTTGTTGTCTGTGCACGATATCTTAGACTCGGAGGGACCCTCCACGGTGATGCCCAGCCCCCCGATCCCTGCCCCTCTGGGTAAGAAACAGCAAAACCCAAAACCAGGAGTTCAGAGATGCGTTTTAGGTGAAAAATAACAAACAAAAAAACTATACATTGAGTCCATTCGTCCATTCTCCGATAGCATTAATGGAGAGTGACCAGCATCCTTAAACTCAATTTTTATAATAATAAAAACTGCTTATCCCTATAATGCCAAATGTATCATATTTGATTCATACGGTTTCTGAAAATTTTGGGATCTGAAACTTTTTGCATCATTCAGTGGTGAAAGCTTTGCTCAAACCCCTGTTGTACACATTCAGATATACCTGATAACAGCCAGTGGAAGACTATACAAAAATATATTTTTGACTTATTTCACACTTATTTGATCAAAAATAATTTAAGTTTTTTTTTCTTCATCTGTTGTTGAGGGGCCAAAGAAAGAATTCAGACTAAAACAATCCAATATTCTTCCTATTTTTCTTGGATCGGGCTTTAAAGGGTTATGATAACTCATTTATTATTATTTACTTAATACTACTTTATTCCCTAAGTGTGGAGGCTCATTTCACAGACCTGGTGAGGATGTTGAAGCCGTTGGGCTGGTCGGTGAGGCCCCTCTGGAGCCCGGGGCCGGAGGCCTGCACCCTGCGGGGGTCGCACCCCTCCGACACCGACACCTGGAACGGGCTCCTGGGGACCGGCGCGTCCGCGTACAGGACCTGGACGGCGTGCACGCCTGAAACCGCCAAACCGAGTTTGAGCTGAGGCGATGTGCGTGTGTAACCGGTCTATTGTGCCCCGCCCTCTGTTCACTGAGCTTCACTGGTTACCCCCGGTTACCCGCATCAAACCCAACTCCCTGATACCGGCCTACAAAGTGCTTAAGGGTTTGGGTTCTCTTAACATAAGCATAAACGTAAAAGCCCTTAACAGTTTTAAAGGCCCCAAACAAAATGCTTTGAAGCCACAAACATGTTTTGAAGCCCAAAAACTGCTTTAAAGCCCCCCAAACTACTTAAAAGCCCCCAAAATCAGCTTTGAGATGGAGGAAGGAGCTACCAGAGCAGCAGGTCCCTGTCTGTCTTCATAAACTCCTCCAGCCCCCCCTCTCCACAGAGCAGCTCCCATCCTAACTCTTCCAGACCTCTGGACCCTCTATTCCTCTTTCTGAGCTTCTCTCTATCTCTTAACATAAGCATAAACATAAGAGCCCTTAATGACAGCTTTAAAGCCCCAAAAACTGCTGTAAAAGCCCAAAAAATACACCTTTAAAAGCCCCAAAAAACAGCTTTAAAAGTCTAAAGAAACAGCATTAAAAACCCTAAAAAAAACTGTTTTAAAAGCCACAAAACAGTTTTGAAGCCACAAAAAACAGCTTTAAAGCCCCAAAACAGCCGTAAAAGCCCTCAAAATAGCTTTAAAAGCCCCAAAAATCAGCTTTGAGATGGAGGAATGAGCTACCAGGGCAGCAGGTCCCTGTCTGTCTTCATAAACTCCTCCAGACCCACCTCTCCACAGAGCATCTCCTATCCTAACTCCTATCCTAACTGTCTCCTCTGACTGACTGGGGGTTTTCCTCCAGAGAGATGATAGTCAGACTGACGATAACTGTAACGTTGTGTCTACTTTGTGAGTCTCCTTGGATGAAAGCGTCTGAATGCAGAATGGTACCGTTCTCAAAGGGAGTGTATTCCACGCTGTAGGTCCCGTCGGCCTGGTCTGTGACCACGCAGTCGGTCAGCGCTCCGGACGGGTTTCTGACCTCGGCCTTCACCTGGTCTCCCCCCCGCCGGGTTAATGGACGGGCGTCCACGGTGAAATTCGTGGTGGCTTCTCTGAAAACGGCTGGAGACGACGGGACGGAGGGTCAGTATTTAACTCATTAACTGCCAGCCATTTTCAGAACAGAGTCCCATACTAACAGAGTTTTTTGAGCATTTTGACTGATTTTTCAAGAGCCACAGAATAGTTTGTGCTATGACTATGTAAACACCGAACACAACAAAAGAAAGAGTAGACTCTCTTCTTTCATCAGGAAAAACAAATTTGTTTCTACCTTATTCCGTTCTTCCTCGACTTGCGTCTCACCGGCGACATTTCTCGCATAGAGAACCATTGCGTTTTTCTTATTTGCCTACAGTCTATGCTCATCTCCCATCAAAAGTGACACTGCCCCCTAGAGGGTCAATTTGTTACTACATACTCTGTCTAGAAGCCTGATATTTACGGACAAGCTTTAGCAGATCGTCCCCCAGCCACTCTCGTTGAAAAACATCAAAGACGTCTATAGACGTCTTTGGCAGTCAACGGTTGTATTTGAATTGACGTCGATAAACGTCTTTGGCAGCCAATGAGTTAAAAAAAAAAAGCCTCACACGGTTTCGCCGGTCCGGGGCCTCAGACTCACCTTTTCCTTCCACTCCGGGTCCGAACACCTTGACCTTAGAGGTGTCCACGGCCGGGTCCACCGAGACTTTGGCCGGGAAACCGGGGACGGGCGTCCCTCCGTACCGCAGCAGCAGGGTGTACAGGCCGGAGGTGAGAGGGACGTAGGTCACAGTGTAGGTCCCGTCTTTGTTGTCCACCACCTCCGTCTTCACTTTCACACCTGGACAGAAAACAGTTATTAATACCCAGAAAAACAAGTACAACAACTTCAGCCTGGCTCAATGTGTGATCATGTCATAGGAAAAGATCTCCATCTTTGTCCTAAATATACTTGGAAATGAGCAAAAACAAATAAATACTCTGGAATCAGGTCCCCTCTCGATATGTGAGGAGCAAAACCGAGGTTGTTTTTAAGCTATTGTTTTTTCATTTTTGGTCAAGAAATAATTCCATACTGAACTCTTGCGAAACAAAACACGTCTGTGACAGCTATGTTCGGTCAGAAAGAGAGAAAACTGCCCCTCTCTACCACTTTACCCCCAGTGACCTGTATTTAAGGATAGAAATAATGTGCGCTCCACATAAAGTCAGAAACGTCTAATTTCTTCCACCATGGTCACCTTCACTGATTCACAGCTGGTTATTTAAAGCTTTATCTTCCATTTTCTTTATTAAAATACCACCATCACCTGGGTTTTGGATGTCCTCTCCCCCAGAAAAAGGTTTAATTGGCTTTTTAAAACATTCTGCAAATAGTTCTTTGGTAAAGTGTGATCAAAACATGGTTTTCTTAACCCCCGCAGTTGATAGTTTGGTTAAAATAAACTGAAATATTCGAACAACAATGTGTCCAAAACCACCTTTATCCCATTGGTCGCTGTGATGATGCTCAACACACATTCAGACATTAAGCTAATGATTGGATGTTACAGAAAACCTTTTGAGTCACCTGATCCCAGGTCAGATCCAGCCGGACCGGATGAGGAGTCCGGTGTCGCCTCCAGGCTGAGCTGGCCGGGTCCAGCCTGAGAGCAGTCCACGTTCACAACACTGACCTCTCCAACCTACACACAAACACACACACACACACAAACACACACACACACACACACACAAAACATACAAACACACACACACAGAAAAACAAGCTGTGAACAGCTGAGCTGAAGAAGGGCAAACATTTATTCTATTGGAATATAAATTTGGGTCAAAAGAAACCACAAAGAAATCCTTTAACCCTGTAATGCCAAATGTATCATATCTGATACATACGGTTTCTGAAATGTTTTGCGTCTGACACCTTTTGCATAATTTAATAGTAAAAACTTTGCTTAAAATCCTATTGTACACAATCAGATACACCTGATAACAGGGGGCAGAAGACTACACAAAAAATAATCTTGACTTATCGCGTAGTAATAAATTATTAATATTAAAAAAAGTATTTGTTTTTTCTTTTTACATATTGTTGAAAGGCCTAATAAGGAATTCAAACAACAAAAAAAAAAGTAATTTTCTGTTTTGTTTTATTCTTGGATCAAGCTTTAAAGGGTTAATGCTTTTCCATCTCAGCAGAGAAATAAAAAACCCCTGGATAAATATATTCATCCATTTTTTAACGCTTCAACCATCTCTCATCAGCGTATTTTAACAGCTCCCCCCCATTAAAAAGGAGAAGTTTCCCTCTGAAGCCACCCAGTGGAGCCTCACCTTGGCCCTCTTCAGGCCCGAGCCCGAGGCCACCACCCTGGAGGGGTCAAAGGGCATCTGGATGTCGGCTCTAAAAGGCGACCCGGGGATGTGGACGCCCTCGAACAGGATGTTGACCAGGTAGTCCCCGGGCTCCGTGGGCAGGTAGGACACGGAGCAGGTCCCGTCCCCGTTGTCGGAGCACTCGATCTTGGCCTCGGTGGGCCCCTCCACCGTCAGCCCCAGGCCGCCCGTGCCCGCGCCCTTGGTGTCGATGCTGAACTCGGCCGGGTTCCCGACCAGACCCCCCTCCAGCCCCGGGCCCGAGGCCTTCACCTGCACAGGACCAGCGTTAGCATCACATCCGTTTCACATTCAGCTGAGATTCAGAGTCATTTCAGGTCCAGATGTGTGAAGTACAGCTGAAACTCTACTTCCGATTATCTAAACGTACGAATTTTACAACATCCAAAGTGAAATTCGATCAAATATTCGACTCAACACCATAAATAAATTTTCAACATGACGTCAAGGTCATAGAATTTTGAATAAAATATTCTTTATGGAATATATAAATTTAATAAATAAGTTAATTTAAAGTTCAGGTAGTGAAAGTAAGTTAGGGTACATCCTGTCTCCACCTCTACCTCCGTTCATCAATAACTGCTAATAAAAAACCCTTTTTATTGATTATTTCTTTATAATTTATTTATTTTTAAATCTCTCTTATATAATGCATTTGTTTTATAGCCATGTGTAATTATCTGAAGTAATTATTAAGGAGTTATCATAGGTTTTTGGGCTGTGGAAGGAATTATAGGAATTACAGAGTATTCTTATGGGAATATTTGAACCAACATGAATATTTTAACATACAAAGTAGGTCTTGGAACAAATTAAATTTGTATGTAGAGGTTTTACGCCATCACAAAATGCTGCTGTGACACAAGGCCGTCACATGAAAATTCCTAATTCGAGTCGACTTTTTTTTCTGCTTAACTTTAGGCTAGTGTTATCCAATAAGAAAAGATACAGGATACACAACCTACAAATCACAGTTGATCTATAAAAAACAAAACAAAAAAAAGGTTAAAGGAAAAACCCGGTCTGTCACCTTGCTGGGGTCTGGAGGCAGGTGGGCCTCCATGGGGAAGGGGCTCCTGGGCACCGGGTGCCCGTCGTAGGACACGTTTACGGCGTACAGACCCTCCTCTTTAGGCGTGAAGCGAACCAGGCTAACGGCCGCCTTTCCAGGCCGGGGCTCCACTTTGCAAGGCACCGCTTTCTGGCCGGGACTCAGCTAATGGACACACACACACAGAGGAGGAGCTTTTCCACCGACCGCCACTTTTATTCATTTCTTTTTATTCGTTTATTTGATAGGGACAAGTATGTTTCATGAAACATTTCACACACTACAATATTTTAGCTAAGGCTAATTCTCAACGCCTGTCCCCAGTTAGGCTTTTACGCAAAACACAGTGACTGTACACAACAAAACAAATCACATACTAAAACATCACAAATACAAGATCAGGACAGTTAGATTATTAGATTTATTAATTATTACTTCCCACTTCCCGGGAATCTCTCGGAACAGTAAACGGAGGCGGCACCACTCACCACCAGCACCTCCAGCTGTCCTTGACCTCCCGCTCCTGTGGTGTCCACCGAGAACTGCTGCTCCTGGTCCACCTCCACTCCTGAAACGATACAATTATAGCTGGTCCCAACTTTTTGTAACTGGTTGATGAAAGTGCAAATATCCAACTGATGTTTCCAAACGTTTATTAAAGGATTTTCCGTCATGCAAACGCCCAAGACCACCGTGAACACTGCAAAATACGCGGTGGAAAATATTCCTCAATAAAACCGTCAGTTTCATTTGATAATTCATATAAGGTAACATACCTTATATGAATTATCAAATGAAACTTATTAAACAAAATATAAATTCTCTAAATTGTCCATACCGTATGCCCCTCCAACCAGAAGGTTAGGAGTTGCTAGAAGTCAATTTCTTCCATATTTCAGTCCTTTGCCTTTACTCTTGCACACACAGACTAACTATAAACAAAACTCAGAACTTCCTATCAAAGGCATCACGTGATCAAGTGAAAACCCAATCGGTGACGTCTCCATATGACATTGTTACAATATTTCCCCAAAGTATGTACGTATTAATAGATAAAGATAAAGATATGAAATAGATATTAAAAGTAAAACATATTCATATTCACAAAATAAAATAAATTCACACAGAAAAAATGCTTATGTAACTGCGTTAGCTACAACAATCGCATCCTTTCAGTTTGCGGCTGTGCCACAGGAAATTTCTATTTTTTCTCCCCTTTTCAGACTTCCTCCAGATCCCAGGAGGTGAAAGTGTTTCTTACTTCCATTCAGGCTGTCCACGGCCACCTTATCGAGGTCCAGCGGAGCAGCGACTCCCACTTTAAAGGGGCTCTTGGAAATGGGATCTCCACCGAACGTCACCACGATGGTCATCTCCCCCTGCGGACACAGAAATTTATGACCCGCCTATAATGTCAGGCCAAGAGGAGGCGAAACACCAAAAAGATCTACACGTTCACAGTTTGTTAAGAGCCCCCCAGGAGCCATGGGTTAGGGCAGTGGCGCCTTCAAATAACAGGACCACTCTTGTTTGAGGGGGTTTAACAACTTAGGGGCCAGGACGAGGTTAATACAATTCCCCATAGTGGTGTAAATAAGGAATAGGTTCCAGGTCTGGGTCATTCTTGGACATAATTCAGTAGAGTTGGACGGCCCTCCCTCAGTCAAAACTGTTGCTGGTTCACTTAAACTTTTGAAGTTGCAGATTCCTTAAAAAAAAAGGCATCCTGGGTGAGTAATTTCACTACCCTGTCTGCTCATAACCTCTGGCCCAAAAGAGTTATTACAAGTCTGACTGGTCTCCTTTGATATGCTACAGGACCACCTTCCCATTGGAAAAACTCACTCTAAATCCAAAATGGCGGCTTTCAAGATGGCAGCCAAGTTCCACACACAATCTAAAAGATAGCTGCCAACCCCCCCTTACCAATTACTACTTTTTCAGATATGTAATTTCCCCTTTATTATCCTGTATTTCATGGTGTGTAGGAGGTAAATAATGGGCTTATGTTCCTCCTACCTGCTGTGCAGGGATGTATTTGACCGTTTGAGAGTAGTCGTAGTTGTCTATGATGTCAAACTCTTTGACGGGAGGAGTGAAGGAAACGTCCAGGGGAGCCTTTCCGGCTCCTTTGGTCAGCACTGTGAAGTGGGTCGGCTTCCCGCTCTCCACACCTGGACAGGTGAGACAAAAAGGAATCAGGGTGCCACCAATTAGACAAGAAAATGCTGACAAAACCTGTTAAGATCACACAAAGACATCAAGTCTGATCGGAAATTACTCACTTGAGTGCGAGACACTGTTTCTGTACTAAAATATAGGCAGTAACCAGAAAAATAATTCCCATGTTCAGAGGAAAACTCCACTAAATCTATTGAGAGAGTGAGAGTAAACTGGAACTGAAACATTCAGACTGCGTTTAGTTTTTTGCCGTTTCTAATCCTCTAAGTGGAATATCACTGTTAACATGAGCGCAGCTGGATTCATAGCAAAGATGTTTTTGATTTACCCGAATGGTGTTTTTGTCAGTGCTGGATCAGGATTTTATTAGAGCAGAGCGACGGCGTTGAAATCCTTTAATGGACGGTGAGTTTACAGATTAATTTCGAGCCATTTTGCCATCATAAGAAATTAAAACAAAAGTGAATAAAAACAGCTTTGTTTTAAATTGGGCTGTATCATTTATAGCTCCACATTAATGCTTTTAACCCTATAATGCCAAATGTATCATATTTGATACATACGGTTTCTAAAGTCTTTTGGATCTGAGACTTTTTGCATCATTCAGTGGTAAAAGCTTTGCTCAAACCCCTGTTGTACACATTCAGATATACCTGATAACAGCCAGTAGAAGACTACACCAAAATACATTTTTGACTTATTGCACGCTAATTTGATCAAAATCGTTTCTGTTTTTTTTCTTCATATGTTGTTGAGGGGCCAAAGAAAGACTTCAGACCAAAAAGAAATCCAATATTCTTCCTATTTCTCTTGGATCAGGCTTTAAAGGTTTCACAAAAAGCTATTAAAAATGTGATGAGGGATTTTAATAGAACCGCATTATCCGAGATTAATCCTGGAAAAGCTCAGCTAACATGGCTTTTTTTTCAAAAAATAAATAAATAAAATAATGATAATTAATAACCCATGATAATTTTCCACTCTTGTGTAAACGTCCTGAGTTTCTCACCATTGCGGGACAGTCCTGGACCCTCTGCTTTAACCTTCGATGCATCGTGGGACGGGTCCACTTTGACGATGAAGGGGCTCCGGGGAACTTCCTGCGTTTGACAAGTTAATCAAAAACCTCATTTTTAACCAACACCTAAACACATTTGGAGAACAGAGGCTTTCCCATTGGCCGTACCACGTCGGTGAACAGGACTTTGACGGTGAGCCGCCCGGCGGCCGGAGGGACGTATTTGACCGTGAAGGTGTCGTTGGCGTTGGGGATGATGTCGAAGTCCACGTCGGCCTCTTTGTCGCCGACCATGTTGGCGTCGCACTTGATGCCCACGCTGACGTCTCCTACACAAGCAGAAAACACACACACAACCTCAGCAGGAAGCAAGAAACCAAAACATACTGCTCAAAGAAAAAAGAATAAAAGAATAAAACGGCTCAAACATCAGATCATGTCAGTGTGATGACTGAATGCTTCAAAGAGGAGCCAGACGGAATAAAACTATTTCTAAAGTACTTAAATCTGTTAGAGGCTTTGTATTTAATTACATTTCTCGTAAACACCGTTTGATTTAAAAAAAAAAAATGTATGGAAAAAAAGCCTATTTTAATGACCGAATAAATATTGGGATATGTAAATATTGTGAACTTCATTATTTCCTGTTAATAAATCAGAAAAGGACAAAAAGAGCACAGAACAATCTCAAACTGCTGCGGACACAGATTGTTTTCAGCTCATCGAAATGGCAGCTTTTTTAAACACTTTTCTGCCTTTTCCAACTCAGACTGAAGTTAAGGGACCAACAACAGCTAAAGCACAACTAGGAGATCCGTGTTGAACCTTTATTAGTGCAGCTCCTTTCCCCAGAGCTGACATCCTGCAGCTTTTTAGATGTTTTCCTGCTTCAACACACCCGATTCAAATCAATGCAACCATTGGCAGACTTCAGAAGAACTTAATCTTAAGATCTGTTTCATCTAAATCAGGTGGGACATCTAAAAAGCTGCAGGGCAGCGGCTTTTAAAGGATTCCCGATTTGAATTAAAGGCACCGTGATGCGTTTTATATGGAAGAGCTTTTTCCCATTTGTCAAGAATACTTCTAACTTGAAACATCTGGCATTTATTTGCAATGTCCTGCACATAAAGTGGCGTTACACGTGTTTAAATGAGGGAAAATTATGTATGACATATTGAACCTAATTAGGTTTCTTTTTCCAAATCTTTTCTGACCAACAAAACAAGCGATCCTCAAAGCATCCTGGGCAGGAATCTGACTTTAGATGCATTAGCGCCACCTATGGGGCATTAGGGCCTGGAGAAAGGTGCTATTGAAAGGTGTGTTGATTTTTCTGCAAGTTATCAAACAAATGAGCATGCCACAGCTCCAGCCGCTCTGAAAACAAATTCCCCTGCAGCAGACATGACGGCAGCAGAGGAATCTGAGGCACGCGAGCGAATGCCAACAGAAACCGTTCTTCATCCAGGAGGGGAAACAAAAAGGCAACACAGAACATGTTGGTTAACATGTGATCAAAACTGCGCAGGCAGCGTAGAAATCTGTGAGAAGCGAAACCAAAAAGAGGTTCTTGGTTTCGCCAAGGTGCTAAAAAATAATTAAAACTACTCACACCTTTAATTTATCTTTATACAAACAAATGAATAAATAAATGGTCCTTCTAACTGTATTGTGGATTTTAAAATAGTTTTTATGTCAAAGGATTTTACAGTTTTTATTTACTTTGACTTAAAAAAAAAAAATACTGCTTTTTTTTCTAGCAAAGAAAAAAAAGCAGTATAAAAGTGTTTAAACGTAATAAAATTAATTCAAAAATAAAATTAGCAGCATGCAGCAGATAAGTACACAGATCGAGCTCGATTGCCAATGTTTGGCTAATGGATGGTGGAGGTGGTCTAGTGCCCAAAAAGAACTTCATGTTCAGTCAAAATGACATTTCTGAATTCAGATAGTGTGAAACAGCATGGGAGGCGTTTATCAGACTGTAGAAAACAATGTGTGCAGACAGACAAACAAAAAAAAAGTCTTAACAATGCACATTAAACGTATCAGAGGTCTTACCACCCAGCATCAAAGACTCAAATCTAACTGGAATAGATCTGCAGCAGAGCTCAGACCACAAAAGAATGTAGCCTCTAGTAAAAGAAGAACATTAATGTGCGTGTCTGTGTCTGTGTTGGGGGGGGCTTTGTGTGGAGGCATGCATGGGTTATAGCGCGGCTTTGTTCTTGTGTCGGTAGGTGATGACAGCTGATGTAAGCGCGTTCTGCACCGCGCAGGAAGGTCAGAGTGAGGAAATTTCCTGTTGGGATGTTTCTGCCTTGAGATCACTGCCAGAGCATACCAGGACAAGGTGTGTGTGAGTGATTGCGTGTGTCTGTGTGTGGGGACATTTCGGATTTTTTTCCTGCGTGTCGGCGTTACCGTCTCCGGCCCCGGAGCAGTCCACGGTGAAGTGCGTGGGCTCGCCGGCCTTCAGCCCGGTCCTCTCCACCCCGGGCCCGAACACCTTCACCAGCCCCGGGTGGCTGCCTTTACCCACGTTGATCTGCAACACACCAACAGGAAATGACATCAACTGTGCATATATATAAAAAAAAAAAAAAAAAAATAAAATGAAAAAAAAGGATGGAGGATTTCCTCCCTCACGATTCATTTCGGGAGCCTTCGCTTTGTTTTCTTTCCCTTAAAATTATATAAATATATAAAGCTAATAACACCTCATTTAAAATCGACATTGTTCAACTAAAAGAATACAAAATACTTCTGAAATATGGACTTATATAACTGTGCATATATAAAAAAATAAAACAAGTAAATGTAAAAAAAAGGATGGAGGATTTCCTCCCTCGTGATTCATCTGAAGCCTGCGCTTTGATTTCTTTCCCCTAGAATTATATAAATATTTAAACCTAATAACACCTCATTTAAAATCGACATGTTTAACTAAAAGAATACAAACTACTTCTGAAATATGCACTTATTTAAGTATAAAGTAACAAATCCGATTGATCCAATTTGATAGATGTCAAATCCTCTTTAAAAAAAAACAAAATAAAAAACAAAACAAACAAACCTTAAGCTGAATACAGACTATAACAAAGAGGCAATTAAATTTAAGTTCAAACAATCTTCAATGCCTTGTTGGTCAGATTTAAAATATGGAGATCATGCTGACTAACCTATTGCCTGTCAACTTTTGTGAGGGATCACATGATCCTACAAGGAGAGTCAAAAGCCACAGGACGCGGTTTCAATTCATTAAAAAAAAAAAAAAGTAAATAAAACGAAAGGGAAAATTACATCCGAATACCTCTGCAAGTAATGTGTGAGGAAGACGCTCTGGAAAAGAGCAGAACTGCCTCAAACCAGGACAGACAGGTAGAAAAACATGACAGGCTTTCAGCCAAAGTTGCAACTTTCTGTTAACTTTTGAGTCACAGGAGATGTTTAAAAATCGGACTGCAGCCACTGATTTCTGAGACTATTCTAGTCTTTGATACGCTACATGAAACCCTTTAACTGGAAAAACACGCCCCTGATCAGATATGGCCGCTATGTTCTGGACAACTCCTAAAAGATGACCTCACACTGAGTGTCTGATGGTTTTGTCCTCACATTTCCCCTCGTTTTTTTCCAAATACAATGTGAAAGATCCCCTAAACTATCTTTACTACCATCATATTGATAAAGGGGGGGAAAAAAGTAATGTAAAGGTTAGAGTTTAGTCATGGGAGAAGGAGGCCTCCAGATCATTGAAGCCTCAAAATGAATGAATGTAACAAGAATGTTTGAATATAATTGAAGAATTTATTTGAAACCAACCCTTTTCTCAGATTAAGTGAGAATGACTTTGGAATGGATATTAATGACTAAACAGGGTACACATCTTTCAAAGAAAAGGAGTAAAATGCAGTAATAATAAAAAAAACAAAAGTTTTGAAAAACTTCAGGAGTCTGATCTTTACCCTTGAATCTTTTGATTTGAGGAGATTTGTCATTTTATATCAGACTCCTGAAAAACAAATTACCAATCCAAGGATTTTCCGTTTATCAGCCACCTTCCAGACTTTTTCAAATTGGAAAATAACTCGAGCCAAGTCTGTGCAAACCTTCAGGACAGACACCCGGGAGCTTATCTTTAGATAAGCTGTCACCAAATGGCCGTCACAAGCTTCAGAAACGCACCCAAACACAGATACGAGAACGTTCCCGCTCTGAGGAGGAGCTCATTAGAGCAGGAATCACATTCACACCACAGGAAAAAAAAAGCAGAGATTCAAGCAGTATCGGGATTCTTGTATCACGTTTGTGTCTTCAGCTCAAAGCTGGATCTATTTTCTTTATGGACAGTTTGATTTGGGAAATATCCGATTTATGCCGACTTTTTGACTTATGGCCCTAAAGCTAAAACTTAAAACGCATTTGTTCAGAATGGCGTTTTGCACGTAAAATCACTTTGAACTGGGTTCTGTCACCAATGTATTTGTCTTTGGATATTTTGATAGTTTGATCTGTTTTTTTTACTGTAAAGCAATTTGGTCAGCTCCGGTTGTTGTAAAGTGCTATATAAACAAACATTGATTGATTGATTGATTGAAAGCTGCCATCTCTCCACACCTCATTTATCATTTAATCCCCTCTTTTTTTTTTGCTCCCAGAGTAATTAATAATGAAACCATCTGCAGGTACATGTCTGTAAATACAGAGCCCTCTGCTCCCCCTTCTGCCATTCCTCTTGCTTTGTTATCTTCTGTATTTATTGGATTTTACTTCTTGACCGTTGCACTCTCTTCTCTATCCATTCAGACACCGGTTGCGTCACCTTCCCTTTCATTTTCCGGGTCGCCTTTTCAGCCCGTCGAGCGTGTTTCCCCGCCCCAAAAGCAGGAGAAAGGACAGAAAGGCCTCATTGTTGCAGATCCCCAGCAGGGCGTGCCTGTTTGCCTTAAGTGTTGATTCAATCGACGGGTAAAAGAAGCAGAGACGAGCACCGTCTGCCCGGGTCAAAGTCTGCAGAAAATACTAGTCTTTAAATGCCCCAAACCAGAGGAACCGGGGGGCCTTAAACCCCAAAACCCGCCGTGAAGCGAGCAGCTCCAGAGTCGTCTGAGGGAAGAGTGAATGTCAACCTTTGCTTTCTGTTGGCATCGTTAGAAAATTCCTGAGCTGTGCACAGACGCATTCACACACGCGTTATATCAGAGGCCCGTTCGCCCCGAAGGAGGAACCGTGAACACCCAGCAGGGAGAAGACGGGAGGCAGCTGATAAACTGATGCTTTAAAAGGGCGTTTTCATTTTCATCCGATTAGGGAAAGTCATCTGTACAAAGAAAAAGCTTTACACTCCAAAAGGGTTTGATATCCAATAAAAAAAACACTGATAATTTCATGTTCAATAATGAGGAAGAAAACAGATGTGGAGTGAGAAGGAACACAAAAGTAAAAAGAAAACCCCCCCGGACAAAGAGGACTGGCTGAAAATTGTTAAGGACATGTATGTTATGATCCACAGAATAAGACTAAAGATGGAAAAATGGACAAAGTGTATTACTTATATTGCAGTGACCAATTGAAATTATGGGGCATTGTTTACCAGCTCGAGTCATATCCCAATCCGGACAATATAAAGTTTTGTTTATGTTGTGTGTGTTTGTTTCTGTTTTTTCCTCTCCTTTTTTCTTTGTCACACCTTGTAATTGTTAACAAAGAAAGATAAAATAAAAAAAAGAAAAAAGAAAAAGGAACACAAACACGAAGAGGCGACAAAGTTTTGCTCGTCTGAACTTCACCACAGACCCATTTTCTCGCATTTTAGTGGCTCGGTTAGAAATTTAGACCATTTTCACCCACTTTTTTAGAAATGGCTTGAGCGGTTTGTGGCCGTTTGCCAGCCGCTGGGTTCCCACCGCACATCTGCTCGCCATCAGGCTTTAATCCCCCCGCACATCCACTCCCTCCACTCCCTGGATCTCTGTGCTCATCGGCCCCGCCTTTTCATTCCCCCCCTTTTTGCTTCACGTGCTCGACTCGTATCACGTTTGGAATTCAGATTTTTATCTTTGCACGTTCATTCCCCAAATAATCGTCGATATTTTGACCTCGTGGGGCAAATAAACCGCGTTTGCTGGCTGGATTTGGATATTTTATCTCATCCGAGTCTCATTTCAGGGTTTCCTGGTCCTTCAGAAACTCAAAACATATTTCCTTGACAGCAAATTATCTTAATTTAATCTGTATATGTATTGTTGACATTTCAATCTTTCTACTTGTGAGTATATAATAAAGTTACAGCTAAGTCGATGCGCTAATTTACAGTCAGAGAATTCAATGTTTCCTATTAGAAACTTTGTTTACGAGTTGATTGGATTATTGGTTGTTTAAATATAAAGGTGTTTTCCACTTTGGACTGAATGACGGTTACAGACTGGGATTTTTGGAGATTTTTTTTCTCATGATCTCACTTCTGCAAAACTCCCTGCAAACTGTGACTGGAACCGAAAGCTTTACAAGCTTTTTACGCACTTCCCCTGAAGGGGTCGGCGTGTTTATACAAAACCTCACACCTCAGGACAGCTACTGCAGGCTGGAACATCCCTCAGTTAGATGGAGATGGCAAGAAATTAAATATTTAAAAAAAGGTGTGAATGTGATCCAGTTTTTGGAAGACTTGTAGGAAATAAAAACTCTGGTCGAACAAGTGTGGAAAGGAAACAAGTTGATAAATTAGTTATTAGCCACTATAAAATATTTTTTATGTTCATATTTGTGAAAAATTGAACAATTTAGATTTAGTTTTTGGTCCATTATTATGTTTAATAATGATTTTCTAAAATAGATACAAGTAAATTATATTTATAATCCTTACTTTGTTTAAATGGGAGATTACATTTCTTTTTTTGTCTAAAACTGAGATAATCAGCCTGGTTTGAGGATGAATGGCTCATTTAAGGGAAAAGATTATATTTTTAGAAAAAAAAAAGACTGGAGATTGAAGATGCATCTATTCACGGCCTATTCTCATATCAATGATTCAGCTGGTTAACTCAAAATCTTTAAGAGTTTCTACGCCAGGGAATTCAGCTAATGCCATAAAAGCCGATTTAGATTGAAACGTATGCAGTTTCAAGTTCATCAACACGCCCCATGGTTGAGTTATTATTTCCTTTTCTTTTTTAAGAGCTCTTTGCTGTTTTTTGGGGGATCTGAAGTTCAGATGAGGGAAACTTTTGCGCTGATTAGAACAAAACATGTGGAGCAAACATGAAATGCAAACTGTGAAAACAGTCCTCAAAAACATAATGAAGAGGTGGGAAATTATGATTAGTGAGTTTAAAGTGAGGAGGAATAAAAAAAAAAAAAAAAAAAAAAAAACAGGCAGGTTCCCAGTGCACAACAGTGGTGTTAGTTCAGGTTACACAAAATACAAACAGACTTTACATTCAAAACTATGGATGTTAGTAACAGGCAGACATTTTAATGAAGGTTTGAAACAAAAAAAGATAAGATCTCTATCCTGGATCATGGAATTCAGCCATTTAAAATCAACTTTTGAAGGCCGACATGAGATGAGAAAGGGTTTTTTTTTTTGTCCTGAGTCAGACAGACTTACTGGCTCTTTGTTAGAGGACACATTCAGTCATGTCGTGTTTAATGTTGGTTCATGGAGTTGGCTAAGCTCGAGTAAAGACTAAACACTGGGAAGGGAGCTTAACTTTGCACTTATCAGCATTTCTGGAGCTCAGCAACCAACACGTTGGAACTTTTCTGCTTAAAGCAAATAGAAGCTGAAGCCTTTAGCGTTTTAAAATCAGTAATTTATGATCCATTTCTTTTCTAAAGGGCTAAAACTGGCGGTCTAGGAGTCGTACCTCTCCTCGGTGTATGTAGTGATAATGATCAGAGGCTTCTTAGTTTTTCTGCCCCCCCCTGAACATTTAGACTCCACCGTTTTGACGTTTTGTTTCTGAACAGTCGCCTCAGACTCCAGATCTCCGATTCTTCCCCCCTCAGACGGGTTACCTGCCCTAAGCGGGGCCCCTCCGGCTGAAACCGGGCGCTGTGATTGGCTGCTTACCCTGAAGGGGCTGTTGGGGACGCTGACCCCTCCCCAGGCGATGGCCAGCGTGTGTTTGAGCGGGGAGGCCGGCGTGTAGCAGCACTGGTGCAGGCCGTCGCCTTTGCTCCGCACCTTCACCTCCACCGGGACTCCCTCTGCATCCTGACCACGAAACACAGGGAAACGTCAGAGGCTGGACGTCCGGTTTGATTGCTTAACTCATTGGCTGCCAAAGACGTCTATAGACGTCAATTCAAATCCAACCGTTGACTGCCAAAGACGTCTATAGACGTCTTTTATGTTTTTCAACGAGAGTGGCTGGGGGACGATCTGCTAAAGCTTGTCCGTAAATATCAGGCTTCTAGACAGAGTATGTAGTAACAAATTGACCCTATAGGTGGCAGTGCCACTTTTGATGGGAGATGAGCATAGACTGTAGGCAAATAAGAAAAAGGTAACGGTTCGACGGTTCCTGATGAAAGAAGAGAGTCTACTCTTTCTTTTGGTGTGTTCGGTGTTTACATAGTCATGGCACAAACTATTCTGTGGCTCTTGAAAAATCAGTCAAAATGCTCAAAAAACTCTGGCAGTATGGGACTCTCTGTTCTGAAAATGGCTGGCAGTCAATGAGTTCAATTCAAGGAACTTCCATCATAAACGCAAAAGGAGTGCATCTGAATTCCCTTTTGGTTTGCTGTGAAAAGGCCATTTTAGGCCGAATCAGAGCAAAAGGCTCAGAGATTCCCCAAATGTATTAAGACCATTTACAGGTTTCTCAAAACTCAAAACTTACTTGGCATCCTTCAGAATGCACATAAGGCTTTATCTAAGCTCGATTGTTTCATAAAATGTCACAAGCTGAATCCAAGTTGACTTGAATTTGTTCCACATTTCAGAAATCATTGAGTTTTTAGCAGAAAAACCAGAAAAACTACTAATCTCAGCTTGGATCAGTAGATTCCAACGCCCCTTATTATGAAAAGCTTTTTGACATTGGCAGTTAACCAGAATTGGATAAATGAATGGAGAGCCATTGAAGGCCGATCCTCTGACCTGTGCCGTGATCCTGAGGGGTCCTTTCCCGGCTCCCTCGGCGCTGACCGTGAACTCTGCCGGCTGGTTGACCACGCAGCCGCTTCTCTCCAGTCCGGGACCATAAGCCCGGACCTGAAACGCAAAGAGAAAAAACCCCAAAAACCCCAGTTTAGCTACGCGTGAACAGAAACAGGAATGTTTAATGTTTATGCATTTGGCAGACGCTTTTATCCAAAGCGACTTACAGAGTAGACACAATATTACATTTCTCATCGCTATGACAATAAGCTATATAGAGGAGAAACACTGATCAGAATCAGTGGTGAGATAGAGGTAGAGGTAGAGGGACTACAGAAGGAGTTGTGGGGGGGGGGGGGAGGGGTACGGGTTAGGATAGGAGATGCTCTTTGAAGAGGTGGGTCTTCGCCTCTGAGCCATGGTTTCGCTCGAGGTTTCTGCCTGTTAAAAGGAAGTTTTTCCTTGCCTGTGTCGCCTAGTGCTTGCTCATGGTGGGAATTGTTGGGTTTCTGTAATTAACTTCAGAGTAGGGTCTGACCTGCTCTGTTTGGAAAGCGCTGAGAGACAACTGTTGTTGTGATGTGGCGCTATATAAATAAAATGGAATTGAATTCAAGAGTTTCTTGAAGACAGACTGGGAAGATGGACATCGGATCATCCGGGGGGCCGGAGCCCTGAGCGACCTTTTCCGGGTGGCAGGCGCCGTCGTCGGGGACGACGTGGGCCATGAAGGGGCTGAGCTCGATGTCCTCCTCGTCGCAGGTAACCCTGATGGCGTATTCTCCGGGCTCCGTCGGCCAGTAGCGGACGTCGCAGGAACCATCGTTCTGGTCCTCGCACTCGATCTTTGCCTGGGAGGGGCCCTCGATGGCGAAGCCTGGAGGGGTCAGAGCCGGTCAGAACTAGGGTTGTCAAAAGTATCGATACTCAAAGAAGTGTCGATACTAAAATGTTGTATCCGGATACGATACTCATTTTCAAAAGTATCGATACCACCGCCCCCTTCTCTCTGATTTATTTATGTATTTATTTACGTTGTTTGTGATCATTAACGTGACGTTAGCTTTGCTAGCTGCAGCTAATGGCTAATAATAACATGCTACCATTAATCAAGTACATATCCAACTCCGCCCACATCTAAGTCCGCCATTTTGATTACATCACCAATAGGAAGATCCCAAGCAAGAAAATCGTAATTGCTTCATGGCAATACATTAATTTAAAAATAGTTAAATGAAAATTTCAAACACTTAATTAAACTCTATACATATTGTGTTAAAATAGTGTATATTAAATGAGTTTGTACAATAAGTCCAAACAAGTTTAACCAAAAAATATTTCTCTTGTGAATTATGAAGGGTGGAGGGTTAGGATTTGGGTTAGGGTCATTAATGTGGGCCACCAGTCACGATAACATCAGTAACAGGTCAGTTTGAAATGAAAGACACAATTCAGTTAAATTTTGGGGTCTTTGATTTTATCCTTGTGGTATCGAAAATGGTATCGACTATCGAGTATTTTCCTGAGTATCGGTATTGACTTGAAAATGTTAGTATCGTAAAATTATAGTAAAAAATTTAAAATAAAAAAATTTAAATAAATAAAATTTAAAAATTTAAAAAAATGAAAAAAATAAAAAAATAAAAAAATAAAAAAATATATAAATAAATAAAAATAAAAAAAAGAATTTTAGTATCGTGACAACCCTAGTCAGAACCGGTCAGGTCAGCCCTCGACTCACCCAGGACTCCGGCGTCCGGCCCGATGGACTCCACCACAAACGCGGCTGGTTTCCCCACGATTCCTCCCTCCAGGCCGGGGCCCCAGGCCCGGATCTGCTGGGGGCCCGCCTCCGGACCCACCAGCACCTCGAACGGACTGGTGGGGAGGAGGGCAGAAATTAGTCAAGTCAAGTCAAACTTTATTTATATAGCACATTTAAAATAACCAAGGTTGCCAAAGTGCTGTACATAAAAAGCATGTATATGTGATTTTAATATAAAAATAAATAGCTGTTGGTCTCTTTTGTTTAAAAAAAATAAATAAAAGTGGGAGTGTGAGGGAATGATGTGAAGAAAACATCTGGTTTTCTGGGGAGTGGGAGGAAGGGGGACTGAAACCGAGCTGTCAAAGAAAAGTGAAAACCTGGACGCCCCCCTGTCCCTCTGTCAGGTTCGGCACTATTGGACATATGGAAGTTTGGTAACAAAAATGAATAAATAAAAAAGTTTTGGGTAATCAAGGGGGGCTTCTCACTAACAAAGCCTCCCTTGGCAGAGCAATTTTGTTCAGCATAGCATGGTACTCAGATTTCAGTTCTGCTACCATAATGCTGAACAGGACAAGGTAAAAAAAATTTTTTTAAAAGAAAAAAAAGAAAACCCTGGACGCCCCACTGAAAGCAAACGCAGCATCAGGCCAGCTCTAAGAGCCTTCAGATGGAAACGGCCTTCACACCAAATAAAAAAAGCCTGCTGGGATTTCCCGTCTGCATTTCAGGCTCAGCCCCCCCCCCCCCCTCTCCCCATCACCACTGACAGTTAAGTCTTTGTTTGCACTTTCAGACCTGCCACGGCAGAGAACAGAGCAAACAAGGAGCCGAATTACACCG